CCTGTGCACTGGCCTCGCTCAGAAGGGCAGTTCCTAGGCCCTTGTGCTTTTCAAGAGGCAAATTCAGCATGAACACTGTACCTATGCCTGGCGAGGCTTCCACATGTATGGGAAGTATGATAGTTTAATTAGATGAGATTTTTAATGAGGCTCACTAGGAATATTTGACCTCCTCTGTTTTTCCATTTTCCCATGCTGTTACTTTGTGTCAGCGCCGAGCTCATTGAGACTTGTGGCCATGTTCCCTGGAAGATTTGATGGTGAGATGCCCAGTTGGAAGAATGCACAAGAGGCAGACATGAGAATGAAACTGTGGGCACCAGTTTTATTGTGTGGAGCACACTTCTGTTGGGAAGTCCAGTTCTATTGGTGGGGAGGAGGAGCACAGTATTGCGTGCACTTCTCCTGCTCCCCGTCTTGTGCTTCCCTTCTGCTCCCCAGGGGACCGCATGGCTCCACACATAGCAGAGTACAATAGTGGCCCTCAGCCACACATGTGTGATACAATAAGCTGAAGTATGTTTACATATTTTAGGCCCAGGTGCCCTACTACACTAATGTAACATTCTAAATCCGGGATTCTATTTCTAGCCACAAGCCTGGATTACAGTCAGACCTGGGACCCTCTGGGCCTGGAACCCACACTTTGTCTTTCAACCCCTTTGCACCGAGGAAGGTAGTCTGATCTTGAGGGAGTGAGGATGTGCCCCTTTTCCCCTCATGTACACAAAGGAGGTGGATTTACGTTCAGGAGCCTGGAGTGTGACTTGTGGCCATGTTCCCTAGGAGAGGTTTGACCAGGATATTTATATGTGGAGCAAAGGCACAGGCTAGCAAGCCCCTTTCTCTTGTCTCCTCTTCCTGCCCTCCATCCCTTTCCTCCTTCCAGTCGATGCACTGAGGACTGCTCAAGATCCTGAAGTCACACTCATTGAAGGTGGTGTCATTTGAGCAGTTGTGCTCTCCTCTACAAGCCCATCAGTCAGTGTTGGTTCATCCACCCAAGAGCCTCCAAATCTTAGTCAGGAGGAACTTTGGAGGCTGAGGGATCCTGTCTATGCCGCCTCTGACCAGAGCTCTTGCAGCGTCCAGTTCAATATGTCCAGGGACAGAAAGCTCATCTCTGATGAAGTTTCCCATCCCACTGAGTTGCTCAAAAGTCCCTTCCTGCATTGAGTTTGTATCTGCCGCCCCATGTTGCCAGCTGTGAGTCTTGCCCTGTTGTACGTAGAATGAGCTCATATGCTCCCGAATCCATTTTTCTCAAGCCTGGGGTCCATACAAGAACCCCAAGTTGTTAGCCAAGCATTCAGCACCTTTCACCTGGATCGTTCATTCATCCAGTCATTTCTCTTCCCTAATGCCTGCCCACCACTGCCCACAGCATCTTCTTAAAGCCAGCGTCACTGTGTCTCTCTGCTGCTCGGTTGTTTACACGTCATGCTCAGGCTTCAGTGTCTGATATAATCAGACCCCTGGAGATTTGGAGTTGATTTGTTTCATTATCTTATTTGTAAGACTTTGTGTTTTTCCCAGCACTCCGCGAGATTTGAAAGATGAAGAGTGCCTCTATTCTCGAGGGTTGTTGAGATGGAATCTTGTGTTTGCACTGTCATTTGATATGCAGAATCAAGTGTAAGAAGTGACCTCTGACTCAGTGGTTCCTGAGGTCAGTGAAAGAGGAGGCAAGTGAGGTTAGGCGGGGGTTTTATTATTTCGAACTGTTTATTAAAAATTTGGCCTCTTCCAAGACCCAGCACTACTTTATCATGTATATGAGCCTGTCCTCATCAGCTAACGGACTGGAGAACAATGCACTTAGATGGTGGCCCTTATTCAGGCAGGTTCATACAGGAGGAAACTGTTCCCAGAAGGCATGCTGCAGCATTTCCCAAGAATTTTCATCCCATTAAACCTGATAGGAACCAAGTAGGAAAACATGTTCTACAACATCTGTGTCAGCAACATATTTTCAACGGACAACTCATTTTGTTCTTGTCCATGCCCTTGTCACTTTTCGCAGTCAGTACTTTTGGGACTGATTTCAGACATTTTACTGCAAATCCTTTCCTCTATAGCACAATTATTTAGTTAATTACTTATAAGTATTGATTTAACATTGTTCTGTCTTTACCAGATTGTAAGGTCCATGAAGATAGGACCTGTACCTGTTTGGCTCATCAGTGTATCCCCAGTGTTAGCAGATATTAGGTGCTCAGTAAAATTTGTTGACTGACTATATTAAAGCTGGCTCTGTTTTTAAAATTCATTGATTGATTCATTGATTTCAAATGTAAATTTTTTACAAGGTCAAATTTCAACATTTCTCATATGAGATTTCAGCTAAAAATGTATTTTGTCTATTCGGTTAGGTAGTTTCATATTCAGACTTTTTGGGTATTTATGATCCTGTGTCTCTTCCTTGGTCTCTACCTCCTGAAGTTTAGCTCAAGTGCTTCTAAAGGAGTGTGAAAATCAAGGGCAATGTCATGTTTTCGGAATTTAATTCTAACACCAAATCTCAGAGGGTCACTGAAAGTCAAATCATATGTGTGTGTGTGTGTGTGTGTGTGTGTGTGTGTGTGTGTGTGTGTGTATTTCAAGTCCTGAGTATAAGCAACATCAACATGTCTTTCTGGGTGTTCCCTTCACAGTCTTTGCAGCTTTGGGCGGGGGTGGGTGGTGGGTGGGTAGTTTTCTTCTACCCACCTTAGAGTAAGTGCCAAAGCTCCTCTGGGGAGGGTGGTAGTGTTGACTTCTTCCCATTGAGACTCAACCTCATCCCCTCTTCAATCTTGTGGGATGGGGAAGGGCAGGCGGTGATTCCTTCCTCCTGTTTAAAGATGTCCATTCATTTGCTTTCCATTCAATGTGTGCCAATCAGTTTCTAGGACTACAGAAATGGGAAAAAAAATCAGCATGTATATTTAAAGATCTCACTGTAGGGATGACACTGAGAGGGGAAAGACACTAATAAGAAGTCAGGTGTGATACAGAACGTTTCAAAGACATGCTGCTCTCTGATGCATGCATTCATAGTTTGGGGAGAGTTCAGGGCACAGCTCGAAGCAGAAGGAAAGCTGGCAGACACTTTCTAGCCTGCTTTTTCCCAAGTCCCCTGTCTTGTGGTGACAGAATTAACTTCTATGTGTCTCACTTTGCAAATTGCCAAATTAAAATCATGGCCGACATCATCCTCTAGGAGTAAGTTATTGAACATCTCTAAGCCTCATCTGAAAAGCGAGGAAAACCACAGTACTCACCTTATAAAATTGTTTGAGAGTTAAATGAGGTATTTTGTGTTTAGCACAGTGCGGCAAAATGATAGTCTGATTGAGCCGTGTCTACCACCTGGTGGCAGCATTAGGTAAATGCAGATGCTGTTATTTCAAGAGGCTGAAAATTATTCAGACCAAGAAATAATTCAGGAATTGGCACTCGGGCTAAACTTCAGGAAGCAGAGACCAAGGAAGAGACACAGGATCATAAATACCTAAAAAGTCTGAATATGAAACTACCTAACAATATACAAACAGGGAGAGGTCAGTAAATCCTAAAGGATGGCAAACATTAGGGCACTTCTCTCTGCCTGGCTTCCTTACTGAACCAGCTGAGAGATACTTTTCATTATTGACATTAGAGCCCTTTAAAAGTTAATTCCTGAATTATTTCTTGGTCTGAATAATTTTCAGCCTACATTGCATCAACCATTCTTTTGGGGTCCCCTGGTTTTCTTAGTATTTTTTTTTAAGTATGCTGCTTTGAACCAGTTGTCTTGCCAGGTAAATCAATCTCTCTCTGTCTCTCTGTCTCTCTGTCTCTGTCTCTGTCTCTGTCTCTGTCTCTCTCTCTCGTTTTAATACATAATACCTAGTCTTAGCAGCGTATCCATATTTCTTGGCCATGAAGTTTATGCAGTATTAAAATAATCTTTAAGGAAAAGAATACAAAATAAAAATTGTGTACAAAAATGAATGTTTACTTGCATGAGAAAAGAAAGGGCTTTGGAAGAGTTCTGTTCAAGTGAGAAGCCTTGAGCTTAAGCTTTGTTACTTTTGCAACAAATCCACCTTTGCCTGGTTTTCTAGTGGCTCTCCTTTCCTGTTCCAGCTTTTTTCAGTTGTCAGAATAAACCACATTTTCTTTACTTTCACTAGAATAGGCCACATGAAGACCTGTCCCGGTCTTTTCTCTTCCACCTGTGGCTGGAAACTAATTGTTTTGTCATCACTTTACCTATACTTCCCTGAAAACAGCCCACCCATATCTTCTTATTGGGTCTAGAGGGTCATTTGGGCAGGGGATTCTGTGGTCCCAGGTGTCTGGAAAACAATCTAGAGAGAGCAGCTTGGGTCCCAGGTAGGTATGAACTCTCGGTCCTATGAACTCCTTGCCCTTTAGGGAGGGGTGGGCAGAATGAAGCTCTCTAAAGGCAGGGCCCCTCTTGCTCTGGCTACGGGTAGTACTGGTAAGAACTTTTCTGGATAAAGTAAACTACCTCAGAGAGAGGACCTACAGATACTCAAGGAGAAAGCCATTTGCCCACTGGCTTGATCTACAGTGAAGCCCACCAGGCAACGTGCCAATCAGTTTTTAATATAAATGAACAGCCAAGGACCACAAAAATTGGAAGATAATCTCTATTAATAAAAGAAAAAAAAACTGAAAGAGAAGAAAAAACTCCTCAAAGAACACAGAAACAGTGCAATGAAATGAAAACTTTAAAGGGTAATTAATAATATCAGGGAAATCCTGGAGACAAGAATAAGATATTTCTTAAAACTTAGAGAACAATAAAGAGTTCTTGAAAATTAAAAACCTGAATGCCAAAATTAAAAATTCAGTAAAAGAGAAGGAACATATAGTTGTAGAAATC